AAAAAAAATGGTATATTTGTAACGGAATTTCTTTCCTAAAGTTCACGTAGCTAACATAATTTCATTCCAAATTTCGTCTTTAATGACATTAGTAACGGAAAAAGTGGATTTAAAGACGAAAAAAATTATGTTCCAAGAATGATATTTTCTTGTAGTGGCGGTTGCAGGTTTCACGTTATAAAAAATATAAAAATAAAATAAATCTAAGGTTTAACTGCTTTCGTAACTGAATTTATTTTAGGAATAAAATTAAATTAATATTTAGCTCCGTTGTTTATAAATAAATTAGTTACATTTATTAATGACACCAAAGAACCAAACTTTTCTTAACTATTTGACAGTCAATGTTTTAAAAAGAGTTTATTTCAATTCAACAATCACACGTATAATTGTTTAAATTTGATTATGTGATTTCTTTGAGATTATTTATATTTTAGCAGTCACTTAAAACAAATTGAAATACAATACAATTTCAGTAGTCCAAGTTTAGTTTAACAATTGACTCTTAGTTTAATTGAAATATGTGGCCGCACTACCTAGCAAAATCAAATATCATAGATTCATATCAACTTGATATTATCAAGTCAGCTTCACTCATAAATTAGAAAAGAAAACTATTTGGTATCCATAGAATTAAAAGCAAATAGAATAAAAATAAACATAGCATGAGACTCGATCGAATCAACATAGGAAAGAACTTGAAATCTTTTCGAAACAATTCGTTTTTTCCTTGCCTCCTCTCTTGAAAAATGTCCACACCTTTATTTATATATATATATCAACTTTCCATAAGTCATAACAAAGATTTAATTACCATAATTAATACCCTTTTTTAATATTAGTGGTAAGAGGTTAAAAAAAGATTCAACAATAATTGTACTTTTCCAAGGATTGAATCACAAATTTTTTTAACTTTTGCAAAAGGTGTAATTGGCGCGGAAGAAACAATGTCACTTCCGTAACAATTGTAGATTAATGGCACGGTTTTGGTCCCCGCTTCCTTCGTTGTTGATTTATTGTTACTAGTTGATCGGTTGTAGCGATCGGCGTCAACGAAAATTGAAAGAAAAATATTTTGGCGATTAAGGCGGCACCACAATAAAAAATAATGGCGCCAACTTCAACGCCGCAAAAGAAAAAATATCTTTGGGGTGCCGAAACAAAAATTTAAAGGAAAAAATTTTGGTGCCAAAGTCTGCTCACAATATTAAATAACAATTTTGTAGCGTGAAAACAAAAATTTAAAGGAAAAATTTTTGCGCCAAAGGTCACGCACAATATTAAATAATAAATTTTTTTGGCACAAAATTCAACACCACAAAAACAAATATAATTGTTGAGTGTAGAAAATCGTGCCTAGGGTTTGGCTTCATGGCCCACTGAATCAGGGTGGGTCGTTATGGTTAGGTTAGGGGATTTGGGTTTGGCCAAATCAGTAAGAGGGTCCAATGGCCCGAAAGGTCGTTTGTGTTGTGTTGGGCCGAACGGTTGCAGAACAAAATCATGCCGAACGAGTGGAAGATTACCCGAAAACTGGAAGAGTGCATCATTTGATGGTAACCGACTCCTGTTATTGGAGGTTTATGAGGTAACCGTCAGGCAATTACCTTGGCAAATGAAGAATCAAATCCAACTGTCCAAAAAGGTTGCGAGTGATAGAATAAAAAGGGGAGCAGAGAAGAGGGGAAGTGGCATAAAAAAAAAAATCTTAATCTAGTTTCAAGCTTTAATTTCTTGTTCTTTGTTTATATTTCAGTTTCTTTTTAGGTTATGTGAGTACCTCTCACGCCAACCCATCAAATTTAAAACATTTGCTGATTTGAATTTTACTTTGTTTTGTTAGGATTCCATAGCTACTAATAATATTTTCTTGTGGCACCAAAAGAAAAAATAACTATAATTTTTATTACTGTGATTAAACAGTATTTTGATATATTTATTTTATTATAATTGTTGGGCTATACAATGCCACTGGATGTTTTTGCAGCTGTACTAAAATCATTATCCCCAAATTTTCCAAATACTCTTTTCCTCAACTGCTCACTCTGCGCGTCTCCGCGTGTTTGATTCAATCCCATACTTCAGTTTTAATGGACAGTGTTGAAGAAAAACAAGGTGTGAATGCAAAGGGACAGCCATCGGCACCTGCAGCATATTCTTTTAGCAAAGAAGAAGTGGAAGTTGTCAAACCCTTGGAGAAGATGGCCAATTTTATGAAAACAGATCTATTAATTGAGGCGATGACCATGTCCTCTACTGAGATGGTCGATTATAACATCCAAGAGAACAAGAAAAAGAGGAAGGCCGACCGCCAAGAACTCCAAGAATTAGCATCACATGATGCTGAGTAATCCGAACGCCAAGAAACGGCGCTGCGAACTGAGCCCATGGCCGTCGCTGGAGTTCGTTAGACCAAAAGAATCAGAGACGACGCCTCCACATCCGGAACAAAGCCGCACTTAATTGATAAAGTGACAAAGTTTTCTGGCGATGTTTCCGCCAAAGGTTTCCCGACCAAAAGACGAACACCTCGCTTCACTACAAAAAAAATGGCCATTTGTAGCGGTTTTAAAATCGCTACAAATGGCCATTTTTCGTTATAAAAAGCTATTTGTAACGATTTTGTACCGGATTTTGACCGGTGCATATACTCGAGCTACAAAAAGTCTCTGTACCGAATTTTTCCGTAACAAAAAATGGACGATCAACGCACTTATAAAACACGTGGAAAATTTTGTTGTAACGGTTTTTGTAATGCTAGCATTGTGTTTTTGATTTATTTGTAGCGAATATTTCTCGTAATAAAATATTTGTTACAATAAATGTTCATCCATTTGTAACGACTTTTGTTACGGTATAAATTTTGTTACAATTGTTGCTTGTCAGAAAACTATTTTAAATGACATTCATATTTTTTATATCGGTATTTGTAATGGCTACAATTTTGTAACAAATATAGTATTCTTTTTTTTTCAATAATAACAAAAAAATTAGTATCGAAACTGGAAAATTTGTACAATGCATGAAAATACTGCGAATGACCACAAAATATAAAAATATTACAGCAAATCTTAATCTTCGTCAATTGCATCAAGTACGCACTGTCTAGGAACATAACTATTTCCTAATACAGCCTAATATATACGGCAAAGCATAGCAATAAACATAGAAAATGCAAGTTCAACCAACGGAAAGGACTCAATCAGCACCAATCTACAAAATTTAATCATCATAATATCATGTGTCATGTTGCGACGCCCTATGGAGCGTCAAAGTGAACATACACGACAGTCAGGTCGTCTTCGTGTTGCAATAATGCTTGTCGTCATGGTACCTCGTATGCGTCCACTCATATGTGTCCCATTCTCGAGACCCTACACTCGTAATTCATATGGTCTCTAAATATGATAGTTTAGAGACATTTACAATTAAATATGTAAAACATAAATTTACCATTTTCATTCACTGATTTTCTAGAATCCGGCTGTGTTGTCTCATCTGGTGTTGGTAGTGCATAAGAAGTAAACCTATAGAGGGGCAAAGGTTAAAGTTGTGCCATTCAATCGGCTGAATTAGGTTTATTTTCTAGTAAAAGAGGTGTTGATTTCTAAGTCCTCTGTTCCTATATTATAATGAAAAAGAATTTGGACAAAAACTAAGCTCCTGCAAATATGAAAGAAAAAGAATATTCAACAGATGAAAAGGTACTGGAAAAATAGTAACAAATAGGAGACCGATTGTGCAACGATAAGATTCATACAAACACGTGCATAATCCATGACATGCTTTTTTATAGTGGTATAGATCTGTTATATATAGTGATCACAATATATTTTTACCAAGAACTATCACTTTATGATGAACCAGTGTCCAATCCAATTCAAAATTATAACTATAACTACTACACGAACTTAAGTTCATGTAGCGAAAGAATTGGGAAGAACAAAGGGCCAACCAAATTTAAAATGTAGATATGAAAAAAATATGATAACCACAATTTTTCACAAAAGGCAGCTCCTATTTATCGTGCAACTGTAAAAGCTAGTAAATTTGATAAAAATAAGTCTCCACGATAATAACACTTAAATATGCTCCCTCAACAACATTCACTTTTGAATTAGGAGGAAACATCAATTTATCTATTTACAGATGAAAAAAGATAAAGAGTTGAAGAAAACATATAAATATATCTTCATAAAAACAAGAAAGTTTTCTTGATTAGATGAGTAAATGTTTTAAGATCTCGAACAAAAACTCTAATGTAACAATCGCAGACCGTTCTCTACACAAGACTCCATTTGCTTCAATGATGAAAAAGACATCTGATATGATTAACTAGAGAATACATGTCGAATAACATATGGTCATTACAATTCAATTCAAGACAAATAAGATATATGTCAAATTATATGCTATTAATCACCATGCATCTACCAAACACAATTTAACAAAAGCGAAAAAAATAAAATAAAACCTGGATTCTGATACCTAATTAGCATGGCAATTATATACACCATCAATTACCATGCATCTCCCTAATAAAATCTAACACCAGTGAAAACTGGATTGTGATACATATTAGTATGCCAATTCGCGTACCATAAGTCCACTAGGACATTTCAAAGAGAAATCTGGAGCAAAATATTTGATGCAATCATTTTCTGAGATCTCTGCAAAAAGGAATCACCATATTTATCAAAAATAAATATCACTAAGCACATTATAGCACAAAATTTATACTGCAAGCAGACAGAATTCTCCAAGTGGACTCAATTTTGCAAGTCTAATAGAAATTTTTAGTGGGCCACTAATATTATAAAACAATACCATTAGAGAGATCCGCATCCAAAATGACACTCGTCTCCACAGTCCAACACCTAGCAACGTTTTCTTTAGCGTATCCGCCACCTCCAGTTACCTATATTAGTATATTGCTACTTTGCTAGGCAAAGATAAGATGTACATATAGAAGCACTGAACAGTGTGTTATACACCAAAAAAAAAAAAAAAAACCAACAAAGACAAATTGAATTGCTTGACAAAATTGACATATGCAGCATGCCTTGCAAGAATATATCCAATTCAACATAAATTACGATACTTTGAAATGTTACTGGTGACAAGTTCATTCAATCATCAATTAATCCATAATATTACGTGAAGACAAAAAACACTATATAAATTACAAGCATAACACCATCAATGGAAAGGTTATAGTATCTTAATCAGTCCCCAGAGGGTGAATCTGCTCCACATTGGAGGACAATAGCTCCTGGTGCATAGCACTCCACAACTTTCATAATGATCTGCATGAAACAAGACAACTGCAAAACTATCAACACCATCAGGATATGCAATCAATAAAATCCACTTTTACACATATATTAATCAAAATATGATTACACAAAGGGTATTTAGTTAAACCAACCTATTTCTTCCTCAAAATATTGAGGAATATACAACAGCTCGATCTCTACATATTTACATGATCCGATTCGTATGAAAAAAGGAAATACCTTTGTAAAACCTAGGCGATCGATATCAAAACTAGTAAAGCTAACTTTATAATCTTTTATGTCTATCTTGTTGGTTGATTCCTGGAGATGGAGAGCAAGAAAGAATGTGAGTTAATTTTTGTATGTGTTTGTGTTTGGACAAATTCACACGAAAAAAGCAATACCTAGCAACGGAAAATATACAAACAACTAAGTATGTGGAATATATTTTTTGTGAACATTAATCAAGAAGCCAATAATATGTCCCTCAATTGGCCTAAAAGTTTATATTTTAAACATTCTACCTAAATTTTCAAAGTATTATTCAAAAAATTTTCAAAGAGTGTATGTTTTAAAAATTATGCTCAAATTTGGTTTGCTAACTGTTTTAAAACAATAGTACAACTTTCGTTTAAGTCTTCTGGTCTATATTGCAGAAGTAGATTGACTGATATATTATCGTTCCAAAATTCCTTGTACGCGAGTTCGAAAAATTCAGCAACCATTAGATGCAGTCAAAAGTATTAGATTTCTTATTGGCATCCTTCCAAAATTTATATATGGAATAGCATCAAATCATTGTGCATATACTTTTTATTTTCATGGCAATGTCAATGAGACAATTCATTAAGAAGATAGGAGAAATCTATGATAAATGAACATGAATAGTTTGACCAACTGTAAAGCATTAGATAATTTTTTGTCTACCATAAGTGTGGTTGATCGATCACATAATGCAAACTAAATATTGTATAAATTATTGAAGTTAATAGATGAGAAAACGTCTCTAAATATTAAGTCAAATGCTTTCATCAAGTGACTACGTCTCCAACCAAAACACTGCCACTTATGCATACTCAATTAAGAAATTAATAAAATCACTTGAACTGCAATATTGCTGGCATCCACAGCATACACCTGTCTGGCTCCAAGCTGATTCTCCAATCCTAATTCTTCATATTCTAGAGCATATTACAATTAGGGTTTCAAATAGAAAGAATAGGCATTTATTGTAGAAAGCAGTTAGCAAACAACATATGTTTTAAAATTTGCCCTAAATTGAGCCCTAAAAATATTCAAGAGAAGTGTAAATCCCATTAACCTCCGTAAATCTATAAATATGAACAATATTTGGCAAAAAAAGCCTAACTAGTGAAAAAAAATATAAAAATAAATAAAAATAAGCAAATCCAAACGTACGGGAAAAACTAGGTTTGGAATTTGAGGACGTCGGCGGGCAGTGATGGTTACGGGTCAAGAAAGGAGCAGCGGAGCACGGTCAACGGCCGAGGAAGGTGGAGGCGGCGCGCGGTCCAGGGGTGCAGAACGGAGGAAAATGTGGAAGGTGAAGGAATACATACGAGAAGGAGAAGAAGAAAAAGAAAAAAGAAAGAAGAGAAAAGAACGAAGAAGGAGAAGATAAAGAAGAAGAACGACGAAGACGAAGAAGATCGAAGAAGACGAAGAAGAAAGAAGGAAGAAGAAACAGAGATGTCGGGGTAGAAGGCGCCGCATTACGGAATTATGTTTTAATTTGGTTTAAATTTTAATTTTAATTTTAATGTTTAATTGAATATTATAATTTTAAATTTAAATAAATAATTATTTTAATTTTAATTTTAATTTGTATCATTAATATATAAGTATTATATTTAGTTTAAAATTTAAAATTAAAATTACTATAGCTGTAACGAAAAAATATCGTAACAAAAGAAAAAAAGTTGACTAAACCGAAAAAACTATTTGTTACGAGAAAATTCGAAACAAAAAATAGCTTTTGTAACGAAAATATAGTAGCGAATAAGATTTCGCTACAAATGAGCATTTTTTTTTGTAGTGCTTTCCTGTCGATCCCATCGTATTGGTTGATAGACCTAATCCACCGCTAGCTCATGATCATGATTTTGGCGCCCTGGCGGCAAGGCCACAATTAGGCGAAATATCTCCTCCATGTGCAGCACCTGTCGAGGCTGGAATAGGCGGCGATGGCGATGGAAATGGCTAGACCTTATTACAATCAGTTGATACATTGCCACCCCCATTGCTGTCGACACCACCATTGCCTGCGGCAGCTCAAAATAATAACAACAACAATAATATTATTAATAATAATAAGGTCCTTATAATGAGGACGAGGCTGAGTAAAAGCAATGTGGAGGATAGAAAGAATGAACAGCTAGCAATGCCATGCGTGCAAGCCAATGCTAACTTCAAAGATTTTCTTACCCAAGAAGAAGTGGAAAAGCTGGCGCAAAACCACCATCTGAGGATCCAAGTGGTGGATCTTCACGTTGAGAACATACTAGTCATATTTGAAAATGAAGATGTCGAGAGGCAAGCCGCACAGTTACTTTATACGTAAGCCATGGCACCAAATTGCGAAAAAGAATGGGTTCATAAGTGGCATGGAGCTCAACATCTGGGCTCGTCAAAGAGACAACAATGCGATCATCATCCGTCTCTAAAGAGTTCCAGAGTGAGTACACATTGTGGTGTTGTAGTCGTCGTTGAATGTATAGTCTTATGAATATGACTCTCTTTTTTTTTTTCTTTCTTTCTTTATTTTATTTTTTTTAAAAAATTAATTTCATATTCCAACAGTTAAAAAACAACGAAAGACATTCTTACATCAAAATCGAATATTTTAGACACAAAATCACAAATATACTAAAATCAACAACAAGAATAAAATTCCAAAGAATACATAACGGTCCCACAAAGATGTGTTTCTCCAATTTGAAAATCAAATATGAATACAAATGATATGTGCAACAGAAACAAATGGAAATTGTCAAAATTTGTTGTGTTCAGATATTCCCTTCGGCTAGTTTGTATAATGAACATATCACATAAAGGTTTGTGCAGAATGAAACAAAACAAAAAGTACATCGGCGTTTGTTGACCCAGTTCGGCTCTCAATCGGCCTACGTCTGGGGTACCAACCCAGGACAGTTCCGCTATGAGTAAGGTAGGAACAAGATTAAAAAATTCCTCACACAAACTCCACAAAATCTCTAGCCATAAACCCTCAACTAAATGGTTCACATGCCAGTGCGCTTTCCTTTGTAAAGGCAAGTGTGTAAAGCTGCAACCTCCGATAGCTTGTGCTTTGAAATGGGACGAGGGTATAGACAACTTCACTTTCTTCTCCTTCAATATGTTTTGTTCGCAATGACAACATACTTCCTAGCAAGCATTACTGCTAACTTGCTGTCATTATACTTCAGTAGCTTCAACCCATTATAGAAGATGGAGAATATGTTTTAATTAACTATAATCCATAAACATTTCAAGGTTAACGACAAATTGTATTCATCGAGCTTCTTCATTCCATAATGTAATTTTTTCAAATATTAAATTGGATCCTGAGTAAAATCAATTTTTATACATGATTAATTGACACAATTTTACTGAATTTCGACGTAGCTCGATCCAATTGCTAGCTAGTATAATTTCACCGTATAGGCTGCCTATGTTGTAACTTGGTTAATTAGGTTAAAAATAAGATTGTTTTATTACCACTTCTTATTTATCAGCAGTTTGACATACGCTGCCAGAGGGATGCCCACACATGGCACATTGTAAATAGAGGCCCATTGTACCTATTCTTTTTTTCACTAATATAGATACATGTGTATTGATATGAAATTTTTATAATTATAATTATTTTATAAAGAAGATAATTCTAAATTTACAGAAGAAGCTTTTTTTATAATATGTAATAATTAAATAAATATTTTTAAACATAATTTTTATTATAAACTATTAAAATCATAAAAATTAAAGACTAATTATGATGAAGAAGTAAAGATAAATCACTTCCTTTTTTAATTTGTATATTATTATTATTATTATTATAATTATAATTCTTCTTCTTCTTCTTTAGTGTTCGCTATTGGATTTGTATGGAATTGCTGTCAAGCACCCTGCGGTAGGGGCTTTTATTTTTGTTTCATATTTGACCCACTGTAGAAACCATCCTCGATGGTTTAAGCCGCAACCGTGCTGATTCAATTAATTTTCGTTATCTATAATATACATTAGTCATCATGAAAATTAAAATATTGAAAGTTTCGAAATTTTTTAAAAATAATAAAATAATTGAGTATTTACCCTAATACTCTCCCTGTCCCATATTTATTTATCTGTTTGCTTTTTCACGGAATTTAGTATTATACTGTGATATAATAGAAATAAATATACAAAAACTAAACTAAACTTTTATTAGTATTGTATGATAAAAAAATAATGACATTTGTGTAATATATTGTAAATTGGAAGGATATTTGAATACTTTATTATCGGACATATCAAAATAGAAAAATTGATAGATTGTTAAGTGACGGAAGGAGTATATTATGAGAAAAAATAATTTATTTTAATGTAATTTTGTTATTAAAAATTACTATTACAAATAATATCAAAACTCACAAAGTATTTATATTATTATCACTATTATTGTTATTATTAGTTTAGACCTAAATTTATAGTTATGTATCTATTTATTTTATATTAATACAATTTTATTATTTTTTCTTAAAAAATTTTCACGGTCTACGGTCTAGTAAACCCCAATTTGGTGGGAGGGAATTAAAAATTACTTAACAATCCAACTTACAGAGCCATTAATTTTCAATCATGTTAGAAACTTACTAAAACCGTTTATAAGAAAATAGCTAATAAATTGAAAATAAAAATTACCTTAAATTATATTTGATTGTTTTTAAGCTCTATCAATAAATTAACTGGAAATTACATGTAATAATATTAACTCAGATGCCACGCCCCTCAGGTGCAAGTGGAGGATGAGGACTGTCTCTGATACCATGTCGAATGCAAATGATCATTTCAATTAAAAGTTTGAACTGTTAGAGAAACGCAGTCATTAATTTATATATCTGCAACCGAGAGTTCCCAACACTGATCCACAATATAATTAGTTGATACACCGACAAGGGTTAGTGCCAATTTTTTCACCAAATGTTTCCCGACCAAAAGACAAACACCTCAGATCCTTGTTAATAGGTCTAATTTGCTAATTCATGATGATGATTTTGGCGAGGCCACAATTAGGTGAACTTCAAGAATTAACATCACAACCCGTCCGCCAAGAATGAAAAGAATCATAAACACCTCACCATTAGTTGATACATTGCAGTCGCCACTGTTGAAATCTGGTTTTATCCACTAGACACCAAAATGTACTGGATTGAAAAAATCTTTATCGATGCTCTGTTTGTTTTTTTTTACAAACTCTATTTTTTTTCATTCCATCGTCAAGGCATCATAATAATAGGAGATTAAAACAAGAACTTAAAAAATATAAATACAACTTAATTGCTAGTCTATAGGAATTTCAAACAACTAGTAACGTCAACACAACTAACCCCACAACCATTAATTAAATTTATTCTCAACACCCCCTCTTAAATTTAATTTCTTTGAATCCTTCATCCCGATCCCGATCATCGTTTCACACTTTTTGAACATCTCTGCGGGCAGCAGTTTGGTGAAAATGTCCGCTGCTTGGTCACAACTTGCAACATGCTCCAGTTTAACAGCTCCATCCTTAATCTTGTCTCGGATGAAATAAAATCGTATGTCTATATGCTTGCTTCGTTCATGGTTCACCGGATTCTTTGCAAGCGCAATAGCCGATTTGTTATCAATGCGAATTTCAGTTGGTTCGCACTGCTCTTGCCCTAAATCTCCCAGCAGATTACTACTCACCCAAATTGCATGACAGACACACCACAATGCTGCCACATATTCGCCTTCAAATAGGGAGAATGCAACAATTGGTTCTTTCTTTGATTTCCATGCGAAAGCTATTTTTCCCATAAAAAATACAAGCCCGTTGTGCTTTTCCGTTCGTCAACATCTCCACCCCAATCGCTATCCGAATATCCCAACATCTTAAATTCTTCCGTCTTGAAATACACCAATCCGAGTGATTCTGTTCCATGAATATATCGTAGAATCCTGTTTAATGCCTTCCAATGCGAGTATATCGGTTCCTCCATGAACCTACTCACAATTCCAACACTCATCTCCAAATAGGGCCTCGTGTAAGTGAGATAACAAAGACTTCCCACCAAACTTCGATACAAGCTTTCGTCGATTTGGTCTTCATCTACCTACGTAGAAAGCTTTGTGCCCGGTTCCATCGGCATTAACATTGGACTGTTGTTTGCCATATTGCTCCTTTTCAAAATTTCTTTAGCATATGCTTCTTGCGACATAAAAATACCCATTCCACTTTTTTGTATCTCTAACCCAAGAAACTATTTCATCTTTCCGAGATCTGTCATCTCAAATTCACGATTCATTACTTTCTTGAACTCCTCTATCATCTTGGCATTGTTTTCCATGAAAATGAGATTGTCCACATAAAGAGCGACGAACAACAAGCCCCCTTGGTGCTTCTTCACGTAGAGTGCATGATTGAATGGACATTGATGGAACCTATCCTCCTTGAAATAGGTGTCGGTACGAGGAT